ACCTGCTCAGACCCTTAAAAGAGATGGTAATTTCGGAGTATTTAAATACCCCAAAGATCACCACCTCCCAAGAGCACTAGAGCAAGTGAGGGGTCATTTATACGTTTATTTCATCAAGTCCCTGTTAATATGGGAAGACACAGTGTCTATGCTTAAGGCACAACTCTCCTAAACACGAGAGTGAAGTATACAACTTTAGAACACTTTCCCACCAGGAGACTCGAACCCTAGCCAGCACAGAAGCCTTCCAGCAACTGGCATAACAGGTACGCCTTAACCCGCTCCACCACCTGCTCAGACCCTTAAAAGAGATGGTAATTTCGGAGTATTTAAATACCCCAAAGATCACCACCTCCCAAGAGCACTAGAGCAAGTGAGGGGTCATTTATACGTTTATTTCATCAAGTCCCTGTTAATATGGGAAGACACAGTGTCTATGCTTAAGGCACAACTCTCCTAAACACGAGAGTGAAGTATACAACTTTAGAACACTTTCCCACCAGGAGACTCGAACCCTAGCCAGCACAGAAGCCTTCCAGCAACTGGCATAACAGGTACGCCTTAACCCGCTATTTAAATACACCAAGGGCACTGCTGGACCGTTAAGGAGTACCTGTTATGCCAGTTGCTGGAAGGCTTCTGTGCTGGCTAGGGTTCGAGTCTCCTGGTGGGAAAGTGTTCTAAAGTTGTATACTTCACTCTCGTGTTTAGGAGAGTTGTGCCTTAAGCATAGACACTGTGTCTTCCCATATTAACAGGGACTTGATGAAATTAACGTCAAAATGACCCCTCACTTGCTCTAGTGCTCTTGGGAGGTGGTGATCTTTGGGGTATTTAAATACTCCGAAATTACCATCTCTTTTAAGGGTCTGAGCAGGTGGTGGAGCGGGTTAAGACGTACCTGTTATGCCAGTTGCTGGAAGGCTTCTGTGCTGGCTAGGGTTCGAGTCTCCTGGTGGGAAAGTGTTCTAAAGTTGTATACTTCACTCTCGTGTTTAGGAGAGTTGTGCCTTAAGCATAGACACTGTGTCTTCCCATATTAACAGGGACTTGATGAAATTAACGTCTAAATGACCCCTCACTTGCTCTAGTGCTCTTGGGAGGTGGTGATCTTTGGGGTATTTAAATACTCCGAAATTACCATCTCTTTTAAGGGTCTGAGCAGGTGGTGGAGCGGGTTAAGGCGTACCTGTTATGCCAGTTGCTGGAAGGCTTCTGTGCTGGCTAGGGTTCGAGTCTCCTGGTGGGAAAGTGTTCTAAAGTTGTATACTTCACTCTCGTGTTTAGGAGAGTTGTGCCTTAAGCATAGACACTGTGTCTTCCCATATTAACAGGGACTTGATGAAATAAACGTCTAAATGACCCCTCACTTGCTCTAGTGCTCTTGGGAGGTGGTGATCTTTGGGGTATTTAAATACTCCGAAATTACCATCTCTTTTAAGGGTCTGAGCAGGTGGTGGAGCGGGTTAAGGCGTACCTGTTATGCCAGTTGCTGGAAGGCTTCTGTGCTGGCTAGGGTTCGAGTCTCCTGGTGGGAAAGTGTTCTAAAGTTGTATACTTCACTCTCGTGTTTAGGAGAGTTGTGCCTTAAGCATAGACACTGTGTCTTCCCATATTAACAGGGACTTGATGAAATTAACGTCTAAATGACCCCTCACTTGCTCTAGTGCTCTTGGGAGGTGGTGATCTTTGGGGTATTTAAATACTCCGAAATTACCATCTCTTTTAAGGGTCTGAGCAGGTGGTGGAGCGGGTTAAGGCGTACCTGTTATGCCAGTTGCTGGAAGGCTTCTGTGCTGGCTAGGGTTCGAGTCTCCTGGTGGGAAAGTGTTCTAAAGTTGTATACTTCACTCTCGTGTTTAGGAGAGTTGTGCCTTAAGCATAGACACTGTGTCTTCCCATATTAACAGGGACTTGATGAAATTAACGTCTAAATGACCCCTCACTTGCTCTAGTGCTCTTGGGAGGTGGTGATCTTTGGGGTATTTAAATACTCCGAAATTACCATCTCTTTTAAGGGTCTGAGCAGGTGGTGGAGCGGGTTAAGGCGTACCTGTTATGCCAGTTGCTGGAAGGCTTCTGTGCTGGCTAGGGTTCGAGTCTCCTGGTGGGAAAGTGTTCTAAAGTTGTATACTTCACTCTCGTGTTTATTCCCAAAAGAGTACCAATAATGCCATTATTAGTCTGCTTAATATAATCTACACAGCCCTTGACAAAAATGAGTTTCGAATTGGCCTCTTCATTTACCGGAGAAAGGCCTTTGATACTGTAAACCATAACTACCTCCTACTTAAGCTTCACCACTATGGTACCGAATACGGCTCAAACGAATAGTTCAGAGCAAGGCCTCGTTCGTTCCTATATCAGTGGCAGACACCAATATATAGCTATCAATAACATAACCTTCGCCACGTTACCATTAACAGTTGGAGTGCCGCAGGGCAGCATCCTAGGATCTCTCCTATTTCTGGTATACATCAATGATTTGCCAAATGTTTCTAACATTTTTAAACTTATACTATTTGCTGACGATACTACTTTCATTTATTCTGACCCCAACCCCCACCCACCAATTAAATAATATTGTAAATAATAAATTTAAAAAGTTCACTCATGGATGTCAACCAACAAACTCACACTAAACATATAAAAGACCTACATATTATGTGGCAGTAAATCATCAAATCAAATTCAACTTCAGATAGACAATGTTAACATTATCAATACAAATGCAGAAAAGTTCCTGTACTTATACAAAGCCAAGAGACTGAACTTCAGTACCCACATACAACACAGCCAAAAAAGTCTCAAAAAACGGTCGGAATACTCTCTAAAATCAGATATTATGTTCCCCACTCTGCTCTCCATTCATTATACTACGCACTAATCTATCCCTATTTCGCATACGGTATCTGTGCATCTAGTTCAACCACTGAAAATTACCTCAAGCCTATCATCACTCAGCAAAAATCTGCTATCAGTACTATAACAAACTGTCTTCATACAACACATAGCCCCTCTGTTTAAGTCCCTTACCATGCTAAACATACACTCACTCCACACATTCTCATGTGCTATTTACATGTACAAAACCTAGATCCTTAAGGAAATGAAATGTGAAAAAATCTCAGAATTCAGAGATAATAATAGCAATGGAGTCCAAAAATATGTAAGTACTTCATCCATAATGATATACTGCCGGGAATCTTAGCAAAGTGTCCAAAATTTGCTTACAGCACATGAGGTGATGTCATGTGTAGCCTGTACATGACAGTAAAGCTGCCGCCGAGTTGGGTGGCTGTGAATTAAGGCTAGTACAGTAACTGTGCACTCACCTAGTTGTGCTTGCGGGGGTTGAGCTCTGGTTCTTTCGTCCCGCCTCTCAACTGTCAATCAACTGGTGTACAGATTCCTGAGCCTATTGGGCTCTATCATATCTACATTTGAAACTGTGTATGGAGTCAGCCTCCACCACATCACTTCCTAATGCATTCCATTTGTTAACTACTCTGACACTGAAAAAGTTCTTTCTAGCGTCCCTGTGGCTCATTTGGGTACTCAGTTTCCACCTGTGTCCCCTTGTTCGCGTATCACCCGTGTTAAACAGTTTATCTTTATTTAACTTGTCAATTCCTCTGAGAATTTTGTAGGTAGTGATCATGTCTCCCCTTACTCTCCAGTTTTCCAGTGTAGCGAGGTGCATTTCACGCAGCCTCACTGTGTGACTCAACATAGATGTAAAGTGCCTTGTGAGCCCCTTGTTGAATCACTTGTGATATAAAAAGGTTATTGATATTTATATGTAAATTATTGTATACATATGTACATGTTTATGTAACATTAACAATTGTGTAACTAGCTTCTAAGGGTTGTCACTTGCTTAACTAAATGAACTATGGGTTCAGTTCCTGAACCCATTATATGCCTCTGTAACCTTTTCCACCATCGCCCATGGGATGGTATGGGGTGCATAATAATGAAGAAAAAAGAAAAATAATTGGTGATCTTGATCTGAAGCTTTCCCTTGATAGGTGTAATAGAACCCCTGAGCACCACACCAGAAATAAATACATCTTTGATATCCTCAGAGTCAAACTAAATCTGGCAAACATTCCATGCAAATAAAAAGGCCCAGTCTTTGGAACTCACTCCCTAATGAATTAAAAACTATCCAACCTATGCCTAATTCAAAAGTAAAGCCAAAAAAGTACCTGAATATCATCCTGATAGTTTCCTGTATCTTGTGCTTCAAACTCACACTGTATCTTGTACTACCCACTTCCCCAATATTAGTACTTAAGACATATATCTTCACTAGTGTAATCATCTCTGTCAATTTATATTGTAGTTATATGTTGATATAAAGTTTGGTTGTAATGTACCTCTTCATCTTACCTGACAATGTTAGAGTAAGGACCAGCCCGTTACACTATGCGTGTTAGTGGCTTTGCATGAATGTAAAAATACCAATTTTATGTAATCCCACCAACCCATTGTACCTTCTTGTGAATAAAATATTATTATTATTATTATTATTATTATTATTATTATTATTATTATTATTATTCGCGCCCGTACGCTCACACACAGCACAGGAAGGTTACGATTCAAGCAGCACACCTCTTAATAATACTATATTTTATAACTGCCGCTGGAGACAAATCAATGCCATTACATACAAAACATCAAATTTTTCCCTAAAAGTGTTACTCTCCTTTAAGAAGCCTGCGGTAAACTGGAGGTTTGTGCCCGGAGAGAACAGGTTTAGGGGTCACCAGGCTGCTAAGTGCTCGTACGATGCCAAGCTTATTAAGTAACTTACATCTTCGCATCGTATCTACCTTCTTGCTAGTTATCAAGACTCTAAACATCAATGATAATTTATTATACAAAATAGAATTCATGGATAAAAGTTTTTTTCTCATATGTAAATGTCAAAACGAGGCAGAGGAGATGGGTGGGCAACTTAGGTGAGATAACTGTTGTGTTGTGATGGCCGGCAACCCCGCCACCCAGTCCTGTGTCCAGCCCAACCCTGTGCTCACGCTCCACACAGCACATCACGCCCGCGCGCAACACCTCACGCTCCCCGCACAGTACAGCACTTTAAGCTCCCTGCACAGCACCTCACGCCCCCGCACAGCACCTTAAAACTTTCAGGTAACTAAAACCTTGCTTATATAAGTGCGTCTATTTTCGACAACATGCTTGCAGTGTTCGATACTCTTACAAATCAGTATAAATAAAATTATAACTTGTGTTACAAGTGATTATTTATATAAAGATGTGGTCAGAGTGCATTGATAACATTGCCACCATTTTCGTGTGACTAAACTAGAGTACAAGTGGAGTATTGTGGGAGCGAAGCAGCCATGGCCAGCGTGAAGGTGGATCAGCTGCCGCTGCCCTGCCTCAAGCTGGGGGAGGGACCCCACTGGCAGGAGCACCTCCAGGCACTCCTCTTCGTCGACGTCTTCAGCAAAACTCTCCGTCGATACTTCATAGACAGTGGCAGGAGTCAACAGCTTCTTGTAGGTGAGGTGGTCGGTGTTGCCTTGATACATAACATTATTTATGCAGATTCACACGAGAAGCCCCATGAACAAATTAGCAGGTTAATGTAAACTAAGCAGGAATATCAATTGTCACATATCTAACCAATTTATTAGTTTTAGAACCAAACGTTAAAGATATATAGCGATGAGTTAACAGGATTTCATCATGCCCATCTAGACATGTGGCACTAATGTCTTTGACAAGTATTGAGACCTGGACACGCAGCCCTCTGGGCTGGGTCAGTGTGCCTGGCCACCCCCGGGACACGCAGCCACCTGGGTCAGTGTGCCTGGCCACCCCCGGGACACGCAGCCACCTGGGTCAGTGTGCCTGGCCACCCCCGGGACACGCAGCCACCTGGGTCAGTGTGCTTGGCCACCCCCGGGACACGCAGCCACCTGGGTCAGTGTGCCTGGCCACCCCCGGGACACGCAGCCACCTGGGTCAGTGTGCCTGGCCACTCCCGGGACACGCAGCCACCTGGGTCAGTGTGCCTGGCCACCCCCGGGACACGCAGCCACCTGGGTCAGTGTGCCTGGCCACCCCCGGGACACGCAGCCACCTGGGTCAGTGTGCCTGGCCACCCCCGGGACACGCAGCCACCTGGGTCAGTGTGCCTGGCCACCCACGGGACACGCAGCCACCTGGGTCAGTGTACCTGGCCACCCCCGGGACACGCAGCCACCTGGGTCAGTGTGCCTGGCCACCCCCGGGACACGCAGCCACCTGGGTCAGTGTGCCTGGCCACCCCCGGGACACGCAGCCACCTGGGTCAGTGTGCCTGGCCACCCCCGGGACACGCAGCCACCTGGGTCAGTGTGCCTGGCCACCCACGGGACACGCAGCCACCTGGGTCAGTGTACCTGGCCACCCCCGGGACACGCAGCCACCTGGGTCAGTGTGCCTGGCCACCCACGGGACACGCAGCCACCTGGGTCAGTGTGCCTGGCCACCCCCGGGACACGCAGCCACCTGGGTCAGTGTGCCTGGCCACCCCCGGGACACGTAACGCCTCCCTGACCCCGTCTCTGGCCAGGCCGTCCTTGCCAGCGTTCCCAAGGTCGAGAAACTGTCGTACTAACGTGCCCAAACCTAAACAACCAGAGGATCCATGAACAGAAAAAAAGACAGTATGGCAGTGTCGCGAGCCGCTACCATTTTCTTGTACATCAGTTTTTTGCCCTTGGGTAAAATATACGTCAAAATGCGACGTACTATGAAGAGACAGCTCTCTCTTTAAGGCTATCTCTTACCTAAAGAGTCTCCTTCTCCAGCAGTCCTCTCAAATTAACATCGCTTTTCGTTCGTATGCGCACTATGGCCAAAAACTGACGTAATTTGAAATTAAATCAGCTCACGAAAGTGATGTACACCTCTTGTTTTCTGTTTGGGTCCTCCAGCTTATGTTAGGTTAGGAGAGGCCACGTTCAATTAACGTTTTTTATGACGTTTTGAAACTTGTAGGAGAATTTCCAGCCCTTCTAATCTACCGGAGGACCCTTACTATTTTGGAAAAGAAATCCGAAATTTATTTTTAATGTTAAAATTACGTCAGTTCTCAGCCGTACGTGCAAACGGCTAAATTCAGACGGAATTTGTAAGAGGACAGGTTTTGAGGACGGTACATCTTGACTTATATCATCATGAAGGTCTAAAAATTATATATAAATAAAATAAATAAATAAATATGTTTATTCAGGTAAGGTACATACATACAAGTGATGTTACATTAATGGATTGATATAAAGATAGAGCTAGTACATACAATGCCTAAAGCCACTATTACGCAATGCGTTTCGGGCAGGAAAAACATTAATATCTAGAACTTAATACTAATTGAGCATAAAGAATAAAAAGTGTTGAGAACAAATACAAATAAAGATAAAAAAAAGGGGGAACATGACTGAAAAAGCAGCACAAATACAATAGGTTGACAAACAGTGTTGATTAAAAAAAAAAATAAGACATGGGTTGACAATAGAGGAGTGAGGTAGGTTACAGGGAATTTATTAGGTAGTGTTTAGTTTTTATCTTAAACTGGTTGAGAGAGGTACAGTCTTTAACATGGTTGGGAAGGTCATTCCACATTCTGGGCCCCTTGATTTGTAGAGCATTTCTAGTTTGATTAAGTCGTACTCTAGGAATATCAAAACTGTATTTATTTCTGGTGTGGTGCTCATGGGTTCTGTTACAACCTTCTATGAAGCTTTTGAGGTCAGGATTGGCATTACAGTTTAGCGTTTTATATATGTATAATACACAAGAGAGAATGTGCAGTGACTTAATATCTAACATATTCAGAGATTTGAGGGGGGCGGTACGGGCGCCCCGTATATATTAATAGACATAGCTTCTCGCAAATTTAAGTAATATCCCGTTTTCTCTAAATGTGTCATTGTTTAGGTTAGGTTCAGGCAATTAAATAAATCAGCTTAATGACGTTGCGAAAGCCCAGGATGACGGCGGTGTGTCCACTCACAAGATGAGTGGCGCTGCCCAATACTGTCACTATGGCGGTGTGTCCACTCACAAGATGAGTGGCGCTGCCCAATAAACTCGCCCCTCGGGGCAAAATTTAATTAAAAAATTTATGACGGACTGAATACCTTATGGGCGTAGGTACTCTTCCTGCTCGTTTTCTGTGTGGGGTGGTGGGACCCCGAGCCGCGCCCGTCCCGACCACCCCCCCCGTGGGACCCCGAGCCGCGCCCGTCCCGACCACCCCCCCCCCGTGGGACCCCGAGCCGCGCCCGTCCCGACCACCCCCCCCGTGGGACCCCGAGCCGCGCCCGTCCCGACCACCCCCCCCCCGTGGGACCCCGAGCCGCGCCCGTCCCGACCACCCCCCCGTGGGACCCCAAGCCGCGCCCGTCCCGACCACCCCCCGTGGGACCCCGAGCCGCGCCCGTCCCGACCACCCCCCCCCGTGGGACCCCGAGCCGCGCCCGTCCCGACCACCCCCCCGTGGGACCCCGAGCCGCGCCCGTCCCGACCACCCCCCCGTGGGACCCCGAGCCGCGCCCGTCCCGACCACCCCCCCGTGGGACCCTGAGCCGCGCCCGTCCCGACCACCCCCCCGTGGGACCCCGCGCCCATCCCGCCCCCCCCGGTGGGACCCCGCGCCCGTTCCGCCCCCCCCCCCCCCCCCGGTGGGACCCCGCGCCCGTTCCGCCCCCCCCCCGGTGGGACCCCGCGCCCGTCCCGCTCCCCCCCCCCCGGTGGGACCCAGCGCCCGTCCCGCCCCCCCCCCCGGTGGGACCCAGCGCCCGTCCCGACCCCCCCCCCGTGGGACCCCGCGCCCATCCCGCCCCCCCCCCGGTGGGACCCCGCGCCCGTTCCGCCCCCCCCCCCGGTGGGACCCCGCGCCCGTTCCGCCCCCCCCCCGGTGGGACCCAGCGCCCGTCCCGCTCCCCCCCCCGGTGGGACCCCGCGCCCGTAGCGCCCCCCCCCCCCGATGGGACCTAGCGCCCGTCCCGCCCCCCACCCGGTGGGACCCCACGCCCCACTCCACCCCCCCTTCCCCACTCTGGGGAAGGGGGGTGCCCCTTCCCCAGAGGGACCTCGCGCCCGTCCCGCCCCCCCCGCTACGGTGGAGGTGAGGGGCAGGGACTCGTATGGTGGGGTGTGGGAGGCTTGGGGTGTGGGAGGCTTGGGGTGTGGGAGGCTTGGGGTGAGGGAGGCTTGGGGTGTGGGAGGCTTGGGGTGAGGGAGGCTTGGGGTGTGGGAGGCTTGGGGTGAGGGAGGCTTGGGGTGAGGGAGGCTTGGGGTGTGGGAGGCTTGTGGTGAGGGAGGCTTGGGGTGAGGGAGGCTTGGGGTGAGGGAGGCTTGGGGTGAGGGAGGCTTGGGGTGAGGGAGGCTTGGGGTGTGGGAGGCTTGGGATGTGGGAGGCTTGGGGTGTGGGAGGCTTGGGGTGTGGGAGGCTTGGGGTGTGGGAGGCTTGGGGTGTGGGAGGCTTGGGGTGTGGGAGGCTTGGGGTGAGGGAGGCTTGGGGTGTGGGAGGCTTGGGGTGTGGGAGGCTTGGGGTGTGGGAGGCTTGGGGTGTGGGAGGCTTGGGGTGTGGGAGGCATGGGGTGAGGGAGGCTTGGGGTGAGGGAGGCTTGGGGGTGAGTGAGGCTTGGGGGTGTGGGAGGCTTGGGGTGAGGGAGGCTTGGGGGTGAGGGAGGCTTGGGGGTGTGGGAGGCTTGGGGGTGAGTGAGACTTGGGGTGAGTGAGGCTTGGGGGTGAGTGAGGCTTGGGGGTGTGGGAGGCTTGGGGTGAGGGAGGCTTTGGGGTGAGGGAGGCTTGGGGTGAGGGAGGCTTGGGGGTGAGGGAGGCTTGGGGGTGTGGGAGGCTTGGGGGTGAGGGAGGCTTGGGATGTGGGAGGCTTGGGGTGTGGGAGGCTTGGGGTGTGGGAGGCTTGGGGTGTGGGAGGCTTGGGATGTGGGAGGCTTGGGGTGTGGGAGGCTTGGGGTGAGGGAGGCTTGGGGTGAGGGAGGCTTGGAGTGTGGAAGGCTTGGGGTGTGGGAGGTTTGGGGTGTACTCACCTAGTTGTACTCACCTAGTTGTGCTTGCGGGGGTTGAGCTCTGGCTCTTTGGTCCCGCCTCTCAACTGTCAATCAACAGGTGTACAGGTTCCTGAGCCTATTGTGCTCTATCATATCTACACTTGAAACTGTGTATGGAGTCAGCCTCCACCACATAACTGAATAATGCATTCCATTTGTCAACCACTCTGACACTAAAAAAGTTCTTTCTAATATCTCTGTGGCTCATTTGGGCACTCAGTTTCCACCTGTGTCCCATAGTGCGTGTGCCCCTTGTGTTAAACAGCCTGTCTTTATCAACCCTGTCAATTCCCTTGAGGATCTTGAATGTGGTGATCATGTCCCCCTTTGGAGGTGTGGGAGGCTTGGGGTGTGGGAGGCTTGGGGTGAGGGAGGCTTGGGGGTGAGTGAGGCTTGGGGTGTGGGAGGCTTGGGGTGAGGGAGGCTTGGGAGTGA